TCCTCCCCTCCAGCCTGCGTCCCCTCCCCTCCAGGCTGCGTCTCCTCCCCTCCAGGCTGCGTCTCCTCCCCTCCAGGCTGCGTCTCCTCCCCTCCAGGCTGCGTGTCGTCCCCTCCAGGCTGCGTCTCCTCCCTGCCTGGGTGCTTATACCCAGGCCTCCGCTCCTGCACCTTAACCCAGGACGGGGCGGGCGACATGTCCGCCCAGGACATGCGGTCGTTCGGTAGCAACTGAAACAAAAACAAGGGAAGAAATACGCCCCTGCCCCTGCCCGACCCTGTCGACGGCAGCCCATGTATAGGCCAGTTGCACTCCTATACGTGCGGAGTTGATATCTCTTGTTCTATTACTTTAGGAATATTAAATGAACCTGTTTAATATTCTACTTTATTATTTACTCGCCACACAACAACAGGACAATACAAAGTGGCTACTCACCGACTGCGTCTCGCAACAGGTGGGTGTCGCTCTCTTGCTCTCTGCTCAACACTATATATACACAACTGTATCTCACACCACCCAAACCCCGAGAGAGTGCACACACCCCTATATGTGTCAGCTGTTCATATTGCCTGCGCCGCTCTCTGCCGCTAGAAGGGAGAATACCGCACCCAACATGGCCGCTCCCATACAGCGACACAACATCAATTGGTGAGTAGCAAAACACTACGAAACGCACACTAAAAGACAGTACACATCACAAATGATTATACAGTCACAAACACAGAACATTTACACATACTCTGCCTGTGGTTCCCAGTGAGCTACCTCACAATTACCTCGCTGGGGAACCCTTGGTGACCGGTGCCACTGCCACAGATTCAACATCATCGTTGATAAACATGAATGACATAACAGATATCTGGAAAACGAAGGACTAAGTTAGAAACATAAGCTGTATACCTTGCTACCACAGACTAGAACCTCCAGCTCCTCGGGCCGGAACAGAACTTTGAGGGGACTCTCATCTGTTACCATCTGAAAACCTGTTTTGAAAGCTCGAAACTGGCGAGCGGCCATCTTGTTAAGAAGAAAGTCGGCATATAGCTCAACGAACTCCTAAGAAAAAGTGAAAAAAAACAGTGTCAGTTACTATGCACCCAAGTACCGCCAAATCCTTTAGAAAGTTTTACAATGAATTTCATATGATTGGCTTGCTTAGAAGAAGATTAGAACCTTTTACAAAAAACACATAAACATACAGAATCTCTCTCTCTCTCTCTCTCTCTTTTGCTCCCCTTTTGCTTTTTTTGCCACCAACTCACTTTTTATTTTGCAAGCACATCCACTATGCCCTCATTTTTTTGTACCTGTCGGTTGTCCTTTGTAACCGGTATCTTGTCACCGTCTGGCTTAAGGTGCTGTGTCAGGTTAGCCCCAAACACATCTGTGTAGCTGACGCGAAAAGTCTGCATGAAGACGTCTTCAACGTCATCACCTTCATAGTCTAGCAACTCCTGAAGGCTCCTAGCTAGTGTCTGCGCACAGCACAAAGTACAAGATATTAGCAGTGTTGCAATCAGCATAACAGTATTTTTTATATCGCACTTCTACATAATCTAGCAATTCGGAATTTAGTCTGCATGGTCCTCTTTGAAAACGACTTAGTCAAATTTAGAATAGCAAATACTGCCACATATCGTATGAAGACTAGTGGTTTAGATCACTCTACACGAAGCTAAGCAAGCCTGGCTTCTATATCTACACCAACATATAATAGCGCGTACAGGGTGAGAGTCTTTGAGGTCGTCGAACGTGCCGAGCTTGCCCATCAGCTTGCGGTAGACAACCATCGGGAAGTGCACGTCGAGGATGACGTTGTTGTAGATGGCGAGGCCAAGAACAATGCCGATAAGAGTGAACTGCCGGTCCGTCTCAAACGACGTCGGGTTGAACCACACCATGTGTGTGTCCGGGTCACAGGTAAACATCGCTGAAACAGGTAAACATGCAGGTGAACATCTCTGAAGCAGGTGAACATCGCTGAAACAAGTAAACATACCTGCTTCAGAGATGTTCACCTGCATGTTTACCTGCTTCAGAGATGTTCACCTGCATGTTTACCTGCATGTTTCTCTGAAGCAGGTAAACATGCAGGTGAACATCGCTGAAACAAGTAAACATGCAGGTGAACATCGCTGAACCAAGTATGTTCACCTGCATGTTTGCTGAAGCAGGTGAACATCGCTGAACCAAGTAAACATGCACAGGTGAACATGCAGGTGAACATCGCTGAACCAAGTAAACATGCACAGGTGAACATCGCTGAAACAAGTGAACACGCAGGTGAACATCGTTGATACAGGTAAACAATAAACACGCAGGTGAACATGGCAGAACCAAGTAAACATGCAAGTAAACATCGCAGAAACAGGTAAACACGCAGGTGAACATCGCGGAAAAAAAGTGAACGCGCAGGTGAACATCGCTGGCAAGTGAACATGCAGGTGAACACGGCTGATACAGGTAAATACACAGGTGAACATCGCTGAAACAAGTGAACATGCAGGTGAACATTGCTGGCAAGTGAACATGCAGGTGAACATCACTGAAACCAGTAAACATGCACAGGTGAACATCGCTAAAACAAGGGAACATGCAGGTGAACATCACTGAAACCAGTAAACATGCAGGTGAACATTGCTGAAAAAAACATGCAGGTGAACACGGCTGATACAGGTAAATACACAGGTGAACATCGCTGAAACAAGTGAACACGCAGGTGAACACGGCTGATACAGGTAAATACACAGGTGAACATCGCTGAAACCAGTGAACACGCAGGTGAACATCGCTTAAACAGGTAAACACACAGGTGAACATGGCTTAATGCATGGCCTGCAACACTGGCTAAAAGGAAGGGCACCATCGACCAGAAGGTCACAACAGGTAAGACTCAGAGTAGGGCCATAACCAATACAGCAACATAGAGCAAGAATGTCACACAGAGTAATAAGATTACACAGTGGAAGGTGTACCAGGTATTACCAGAGCCCTGTAGCCCTGGAGACCTTAGGCTTTCAACCATCGTGCCAGGTCCTATGTGCTGCAGTGGCTAGGCCGAGTGTAGTGTAGTTAACCGAGAAGAAGAGGAAGAAGTGGAAGGTACCATAGGAAAAGAAGTTCACACAGAGGAGGCAACTCTCACCAAAGTCCGGATTGAAGAGGCTGTCAACGACTAGCTGGAAGAACTCCTTGGAGACGCCACCCTCGTCGATGCCCTGTTCTCCGTCAAACTCCACGTACAGCTGCTTCTTCAGGTCGGCCGGATTCTCCATCACAATCATCTCCAGCTGCAACACGATAACCCAGTGTTTCTTATACATAAGAGGCACAGTAGCACACTGCCATTCTCAAATTTAACATCGCCATTGTGGAAATGTTCCTGTATTTACTGATAAGTATATCCTGTATCTATATACCTATAAGTATATCAATACATCCTGTATTTGAAGCCATCATGCACATTTTTTTCCCAAACTAGCCATTACCTCCTTTGTCTAATTTTCCCTCAGAAGAAACCCTGCAACCGCTAGCGAACCGGCAGATAACAGTTCAGGGTTTGCACACTGAAGAGAAAGCATTTTTTCAGAGAGTTTTCCAGAGTTTTCAGTTTTTTGGCGACAGCAAGATTTGAGTTGGATAGAATCATCGTGCCTAGTATCCTCCAATCAACGATTGGTGCACAAACTCTGGCATGAAGTTTCAATGCCTCTCAGACCCAAAAGATGCACTCAATTTCCAAAGCCAATGATAACAATATATTTTGCAGGACTTTTCAGACTTGGAAAATAGCGTTTTCAAATTACTGTACTTTCTAGGTTTTCCAGGAGCCACACGAACTGAGAATGACAAACAGAACAATGATCCCCCCATGCTCTTCTTTGTGACGTCTCCTAGTGGACATACTACCAACTTCACTCATGACTTGTGCTCTGCTACGTGGAAATGCTGGTCCTCTTTCCCCTAGTGAAACACCCTCGCCACATTTGCGGCGCACCCTAGTGGAATGCCCTCGCCCACGACCTGCCGGCTACCCTCGTGGCGCACCCTAGTGGAATGCCCTCGCCCACAACCTGCCGGCTACCCTTGTGGCGCACCCTAGTGGAATGCCCTCACCCACGACCTGCCGGCTACCCTCGTGGCGCACCCTAGTGGAATGCCCTCGCCCACAACCTGCCGGCTGCCCTCAGGGCGCACCCTAGTGGAATGCCCTCACCCACGACCTGCCGGCTACCCCTGTGGCGACCACCCGTAGTAGGAACTCGGCCCCTCGACCCCACGACCGCCCCGGACTACCCGTGGTGG